TAGCGTAATATCTGTATTCCTACTATTTATACGGATATGAATTTTCTCTGGTATCGTTCAATGCACCAGAAGCGAACAGGGGCCATGACTTTCAAACGATTCCCGAGAATTTACATCCACTTTACAGATTCCAAACAATGCATTTTATTCGATGCGAAGCCTCCAGTTATCGGATTCGAAAAGAGTTTGAGATGGTCGTAATTCCATTTACGCGAATGCCTGCACGTAGTTCGACCCTCGAAAGGTAAGGTTCGTTATAAATACATCCTGTTTGAAAATAGATCCCGAGCTGGTGCAACTGCTAACCGCGAATCGTTCGACGCTCGCCGAATACTTGGACACCTTGCTGGTAAATAGGTTTGTTCGATGAAATGGATCATTGACGATGAAATGGACTGGCGTGACGATAGGATTTCATCAAACCGAAATTACTCGGTGCAAGAATGAATGGATCTTTTTGCAATACGGTTGTCAGGTTTTCTCAAAGCTGGTCGATGAACCGAGCTCGTGCGATTTCCGAGATCCGTAATTTCACAGCCGAGATTTTCTGTCGATTTCGACGTTTGAGCTTGCAAGATCTTCGAGTTCAGTTTTTCACGCGCTTTCGTGTTTTAGCACCGGCGACGCGCCGTCCATCAGAGGGTTCGTAAAAAGCTTTTAGAGCTAAGAATTTTTTCTTCACAACGTCGTGCGTTCTAGATACCATTTTGGTGTCGGATGAACGTATCCAGCTGCCAACGAAAGTGGACTATTCGGTACGAATCAAAAACGCCTCGCGCCACTTTACACTGCACAGCATACCTTTGATATCGCGGACAATCCCTGTGCTCTCCAACCGAACAAAATTCACAATGGAACAGACAAGACAATGGGGAAATTAACGTCGATAGGGTCGGAATATATTTTACTGTTCTAAGGGACAATTCAAGGATTTTACAGATGAATGCTCGGATTATAGAGTTTTTATTCCTCCCAAAGAACATTTATGAATTTATGGAGTGTACAAACCGAAATCCCTCTGTGATAAACGGTATCGAAAATCTGTATAGAACATTTAAAAAGAATACTCGTTCTTACGCTCGATCTTATAATTAGGAAATTAATTTTTAAATTCGTAGCTATTAATTTGTTGTCGAGGATAATACAGATTGTTCAGGTTTCGCCACCTGTGAATCAGTCATGATAAGAAGTCCGAGGGCAAGCAGAGGAATGCTCTTTCGGGTCAGAGGTCCCAAAGGGAAATGAGGATTCTTTTTTTCTTTTGTGTATACTCTCAGTATGGGAGACCCGTACCCGGGAACTATGTTTGCCCCTTTACTGGTAGTACTTAAATGGTTTGAATGGTGTTACCTGCAAAAAAATAGAATTAGATTAATCAATATCGTTGATAGGGAAAAACTTCCAAAAACCCTGTACAGGAGAAGAGAACTGAGGATTCTTGATCCCGAGATTCTATTTATAGTCGACGATGCCCGTGAAATCGCGATCTACGCAGGAAAATGCCGGAAAATCGCACAAGATCTATACATCGTGTACGCCGGAAATTATGTCTCGATCAATTTAATATTTCTACTAGTGCAATAGTTGTGCCATTTATGCATTGAGGGGATATTGGTAAACATTCCATTAGCTATTTTATAGTGCAAATTGTTAGTATGTATAACTTATAGAAATTGATATACAAAACTAATTTTGTAAACTACAGAAATTCAGACGAACGTTACGTCGAATAGTTTTTATTTTATTATAAATAATTATACAATAACTACATCTGTTTATAGGAAACTTTGACTAATAAAATATAGTCCTATATTTAGTGTGCGATAGTTTAAATACTGGTGGCTGAGTATCTACTTACAGACGACTTTATCTCCTTTCTAGAAAGGATCTGTAGCGCCATCTCGCATAACTTGCTGGTCATTGTGAGACACTTTTTGTTCGAAAGGTATTGGCTGTAGGTAAAACAGATTGATACATATTGCAATTACATACGAAAATACATTTTAAGACGTGACATTTATACGATTAAAAATGTAATCGAACCTGAAATCGTCCGACTAATACGCTTTTAGGTAATTTTCTCGCTTTAAATTCTAACGTGGTACATTGTTACCAGCATAAAATAACGGGAACATTGCCTAGCGTCGGTGTAGCGCGTTTAAACGGTTCATCGTCCCGTCGTACTTATCTAGATCCGCTAAAATGATTTTTCCGTAGTTTAGAAATACTCTACGTGAAACACGATAATATACCAATTACACGTGCTACGGGGATGCGACTCATCGAACTGTTACGAAACCGATATCGTACCGATGTCTAGCCAAGATGAGAAAATAGTACGCTTCTGCATTAAACGCGACCTCCCGTCCACGTGATAATGCGATCGCGACCATTTCGATGAGTTCGCGAAAACTGCGCCGGTTAATCGAGTATCCAGCGAAACTTGCCTTTACCGGAGGCGTTTTTCCCGGTCTTTCTCCTCTCCCCCACCTCGCAGAACGCATCAAGAAGATCGAAGTTTCGCAGGAAATTAAGACGTAGTTACTTCACCGTCGGAATGGGAGTTATACCCCTATACAGTGTTCTAATTAGTCCAAATGAGATAATTGCCTTTAGCTCGAAGCTGCACGGAGAAAGAGAGACCTTGCGAGTTTCAATGGCGTATTCTTCGAGTAATAATCGTAGTCGAAAGAAAAATGCTGTTGGAATATCCAAGGATTCCCATCCCGTTTCTTTGGACATGCGTTACAGTTTTCGTATAATTTAAACATTTCAATTAAACTAATAGTGAATTTCATCTTCATGCTTCTATGCGCAAAGCTTGACACCAATCGTTATTGTAAATATTATACAAAAAATGCCTGTATATATATTCTAAAATAAATATAAAAAAACATTTTTTAATCCACTATTTAATTCGAAACAGTAAGGACGGTCAGTTCGTGTCGTCTAAATGCGACGTTTCGCGTTTTTGTGTATCGTTTAAGTTTCTTGGACAACGCTCATTACGACACGATACACACTGCGATACAGCTAATTAAGTATTTCAGTATTATTACGGTGAATGGATAATAGCCGTAAGGCAGTCACGAGTTCAAGAAGAATTCTATGTTTTTTGTTTCTCCGTCGCGTTCGATGTACATGCATACTTATATACCGAGGCATGGTGTTGCTACGTGATCACGTTGAAAGAAGAAGAAGAAGAGGTCGCGCCCGGAAGCGTGGAGTCAAGGAAATCGACTGCGGAATTACTTCTCGCCGAGAAATATCGCACGCGCACCGACTACCAACGCGAGGACTCCCTTCGTGAGGCGGATGAATAATTATTTTCATGATCACGTTTTTATACTGCGTTTCCAAGAATGGTTCGTCGGACCCTGGCTCTTATTTACGCTGCTCGATCACAGCGTCTGCCGTTGCGACGAGTGTTTCTTAATTTTTCCGATGGCAATTCCTTTCTAATTTGGCTTTATCGAGCGTCGGTTCAATTACTCGATTAAACCGTTTGGATACCAGTTACGTCCTCTAATGGACTAACCTTAAAATTTGATTTTTTTTTTTTTTAAAAAACGTTGTCAGTCGAATAAATTGAAACACCACCAAGGAAATCCTTGCGGCGAGTCGATTTTTCTTTTGAACACGGACTCTCGATGCTCTCGAAGGTCGAAACTTGAGAACACGCGCTCGGGAAGATGATTGGTCGCAGGAAAAAAGATACGAGAAAGATGCCGCGCATCGTTGTAGACTCAGAAGGAATGTTTCCTTTCTGGTCCCAAGGTCACTGTCACTGACAATCCCCCGTTTATATTCTAGCCTATTCAGTAATTCACGGGCTGCAATTTCGTGTTCCTCGACCACGCGTCGTCTGTGTCATTCCGCGATCGACGCCATTTTCTGGTCTCCCATCTAATTTCGAAAGAGAGATCGAAAGGTTAGCGGGACCACTTGTACGTACGGCGAATAGAAAAAAGGATGTTACTTCTAAATTAATCCGGTAGAAACCGGAATGGCAATTATCGTTTCGTTCGAACAATAACATTCGAATAAATCGTACCAATGTGGAAATGGTTTTTGTTCTCTGTTTATATTCGAAGTCACGGTAACGTGATTTCAGAGAAATTTCGCAAGACTGTTCAACCGGGCCTAGCAGAACGAAGGTCGTACACATATTTATTTCTCTACCGATATCAACTCATCGGTCGTATGGATGATAATCGTTTCGAGATGATGATTTTGTCGACGAGAACAAAAAGACCCGCGTATTGCTGGTAGGAGTTGATGGAATTGCAAAGTCCGAATGCGTCGCGTTAAACGGACAATAATCGTAGGTCGTCCTTGTGAGAGGAAAGAAGGAATTTCATTTGTAGGTGGGCCAGGGGATCGCGATAGCGTTGTTAATTTCCGGCCCTTTGTTCTTCGCCATCGCGGTGGTCCGTTTCATTTCCGTTCGGACGTACAGGCGTATGCGACCAATATCAAACTAGGAGACAATGAACGAATGAAATTAAAACGCGATCGAAACACGATTTTCTCGGAACTGGAAACGAAAGGCACGCGCATCCGGACGTTCTACGTTACGATAGACTGTTGAAAGCAATCGCTAGATTTAAGAAAATTTTTGTACTTTGTGTTTGCGTGTTTCCTGCGTTCGATGTGTGTACAGGTGTAATATGTACGTGTGTATGTACATATGCATTAGACATAATTCGCGGAAGACAAACGATGACTTGGGTCCATTGTATTCTCAAGCCCTACCTATGCTTCGATTTGTCTGTACCGTCACGACCATCGTTAAATTTCATGATTTTACAGAATACCTACCGCTCTCGTTCACTTCTCTCTCTCTATTTCTCTCTCTCTCTCTAACACACACACACATATTCCCTCTCTCTATCAGTCTATCTATCTCCTATCCCCACCAAGAAATTGCCTTCACTTGGGAAGGGGAATTCATTTAAAGCGATCTTTGACGAATGGCCCGCCATAACGTTGCATCGAACGGCGACTTACAGTCGAGAGCCGGACTTGAACCTGATTGGAGCCAGTGAGAACCGTCGCGTCGAGAGCTCAGTGCAGACAGACTCTTCTCCGAGGACATACCGCCAACATACTTTCACCGATAATGATGCTGAGGGAAACGATTCTTGTTTTCGCGGTTCTAATTGCGTTGGCTACCGCCACGCAAGTCAACGTGTGCGGCAGTGGTGCGTAGAAAGAAAATTGACTTTTCGTTTATCGTGTTCTCTCGATCGTGTCGCATATAAATTTCATCGTTTCGGTTGGTTGTTTCGTTAGAAATCGCGCTACCTGTGACTCATCTTTCGAGGAGACGTATCTCGTGTTTACAGTATAAATATGGTTCTTGTTTTTCTTTTTACTGAAAAGATTTTCCGGGTTTCATTGCAGTCATTTGCATGTAACACGCTTCGCAAATTATTCGGATCGTTTACGAGTACGAAATGTTCGTAGTATAATATCGTGATATTCCAGAATTTACTGTAAATGAAATATAATACCAAACACGATTCGCGATTCCCATCTAAATGGTCAAATCTGTTTGACTTTCGGCAACAACCTCATAGTCGCGAGTATTTGTAAAGTCGCAAATAAGACTGAGCAACCTTCGACGCGAGAAAGAAAGAACGTTCTCGTGATCACTACAGGTTGTGGAATATAATATGCGTCACAGATCGAAAGAAAACGATTCCAATTACCTTTATTTAAATTTTATACCGTCTCGGTTTTCATTACATTTTAATTGTATTCCGGTTCATGCAAATTACAATAGCAATATCATGACGATCATTTTTGTGGGTACTCGGAAACCTGTTCGTCTCGTATCTGATTGTGTAAGATCGTGTCGAGGGACAAGTTCAATTCGTTGAACAAGAGTCAATCGGATAGACCCAGGACAAATGCGGAGATTTTTTTCAGGAGAGAAATTTGCGGATTCCAATCAGGTTCAGATAACCGGCTGCGACACGCCGCCGTGCAAGCTGAAACGCAGGTCGAAAGCTTCGGTCGAGCAGAAATTTACGCCTGATCAAGATGTTCAGACCCTGACGAACTCTGTGCACGCGGCCGTTTTGTCCGTACCGTTGCCGTTTATCGGCGTAGACGGGACAAGCGCATGCGAGAACATTTTCAACGTGGACGGTACACCAGCTGGATGCTCGCTGCAGAAAGGCGTCGAATACATCTACAAACGGGAATTTCCGATCTTGCAGATCTATCCTACGGTGAGCATTTCTCCAAGAAATAATAAATCTGCTCCATTTTTATTTTGTGCTGATCGGTGATCTTCCATGACGTTGATTGTTCTAGTCGATAAAGAAAAATTTATCGTGACACTGGACCAAACTAATGTCGAGACTTGCGACAACAGAAATTTTAGATTAGACGTCGCGTTATCGTCCACGACGATTCCGCAACGGACGATCGTCGGTCACGAGTTTTTTTTCTTCTCTTTTTGCTATCTTAGCACGAGAGAAATTTCGTCTACACCGAGTAATATTCTCCCGCAGATTTCCATGGTTATACACTATGCGTTAGTGGACGGGAGTCACACGGTCGCTTGCTTCGAGGTCCCTGCGAAGATCACAAATTAAGAGGTGTTTGTCGTTCACCCTGGGATAACTACCTGCGTGGATCCCGAAAGCCACGAAGCTGCACCTCTGCGACTGAAACGTCTGTACAATAAGGGGGACAATGTGAAAGGGAGAGTGTTCGCGTTGAATCGTAAAAACCGATATTAATTGGAATAGAGCCGCTTTCACGTTGTCCGGTTTACCGAGCTTAATCAGTATGTAGTATGAACATGTTATTATAACTTTAATAAAATTTTTGTATTATTTCGCGTGTCCCCGCAATTCTTTCAATGCGCTTCTTCGTTATCGTAAACTACCCTGTCCCATTCCTCAGAAATAATTTGGCGGTCGTCACGTTCCGAATTTATTCCTATCGCGTGGCGAGGCCATTGTCCTTGGCAAACAAAAATGGTATGGAAAAGATTTATCTATGAAGCTGATAGAACCAAAGACGATATATAAGAATAGACGTAACATCTTATAGACTCACTCGTGACTGCATATAGCGATACACATACATTATTGCCCCGGTTTCGCTAGCAAGGAAGAATGTTCTACTTTTCTCGCCTGGCCTGAACGACAGTTTGACACATATGTATACAATGTAGGCCCGGTATAAATGTATATATGCTATTATATTAATCTAACTATTACGAATACATTAATAAAATAATAATAAATAATTTAATAAAAAAGTTGTTTTATTTAACGAAGCAAACTTAATAGAATGTTTGAATTTTGTTTATTATTATTTACAGAGATTTTAATTTACAGGTCTATTCTTATATCTCGTTTGTGATGGAAGCTCGTTTATTGTAGCGTTCGTGATTATAGAGGGCTAAATTTCCCGGTATACTGCATTAAGCGAGCTCTAATTACAATAACTGAGATGAGCACTTATTTACAAAAATGTGTCTAGGGTGTGATAATACATAACTTATTAAAATAGTACAAAGTAAAACTAAACCGATAATAGAGTTTCAAACGATTATTCCTATAAATATTACATACCTATATGAAATAATGAAAAAACTCAATCTGCATACAATTGTACAACTTTATATAGGAGTCCTAATACGCACAATCAATTACCTTTTGGCAATTGGTGAATCATTATATATAACTTTATTCACACATCCTTTATTTACAATAATTTTATTTATTGCGAGTAAGTAAATAATAAAATTCGATACAACAAGAGCTCTACTAGCCAACCTTCTACAGGATATTACGTCAGCTTCATTTCAATTGTGAGGTATGAATTTATTAAAATAGTCGAATATATACGTGACTCCTTGTACTTTATTGTTCAGCTTCACGTATTCATATAATTAACAAAGATTTTCTACTTTAGATTTAGTCTTACAATAATCTAAGTATCATGTACGATAGAACATTTACCAAAAATATTCGATCTTACATTTATTCTTCTAACTAGAGAAATTAATTTTAAGTTCGCAGCCATTAGCTCGGTATTACCTTCAGTTTACAATACTTTACCGAAGATAATACCAATTGCCCGGGTCTCACCACGAGGAGGTTGCTGCGAGTGGAGACCCAAAGAAAGCTAGATGGAACCCAATTCCATCTATGTAACCGTAGTTACATCGATGGAATCATTAGTTTCATCTACCTCCCTTTTTACAAAGTCTTACAAATAACTTAAAGGTAACTGAAATTTAGACGCTTTAATGTTGATTTCCCTCGGCGGATGGCTTCTTTCTTGAGTCTACCTGAAAATAAAATGAAGATCCCACGGCGGATGATCGATGTCTTCTTTCTTGAACTTATACTATTCTTACAATCGACTTAACTTAACTTAGAACTAACACATTTATCTGTATACCAAGCACTTATTATTATGTACACAAAAGGAGTGCACATTCTCTGAAGGAGAATATGTTACAGAGAGTCGATGCTCTCGGAAGGAGAACACCGATTCTCTCTGAAGCAAAGTGTGACTCGAATCGACGCGTACCGTGAGTAAAGCCCCTACGGTCGGCCCCGTCACCAGCTACCCCCTGTCAGAGGGGTCGTATCTCGCGCTCCTCCGTACAGGTCCCCATTTCTCCCAACGTACTGCCTCCAGGCGACTGCCGGGCCAGTCGAGGAGACTCCATACGGATGACAAAGAGAGGGACCCGGTACGGAGGCATGCCGCGAGACGGCCGTGCAAGCACTGACACCGCCTCGCGGTGCGAGACATAGACCCATGATTAGGATAGCTAGTTAGGGAATCCGATTTTCGGGGCCTACAACACGGCCGATCACCTGCACATTGCAGAGTGACCGGAAATAACGGACTACGCGAGAAAAAGAAGCCAAAATAATAAGTACTCTGTATACATTACAATTATTTTACAATGGGTTTACAGCCATTGGCTCGGTATTATCCTCGATTTACAAAACTATCGAGGATAACACCGATTACCAGGTCTCACCACGTGGAGGTTGCTGCAAGTGGAGACCCAAGGAAGATAGATGGAAACACAAGTTCCATCTATCCACCTTTCACAATAATCTTACAACCAACTTAGATATCTAAATACGCTTATACTATAAATATCGAAATCCCTCGGAGGATGGCTTCTTTCTTGAGTTTATTGAATTAAAATAAATCAAAATAAAGCACAATTAATTAGAATAAATCAAAATAAAACATAGTTAATTAAAACAAATCATAATAAAACTCAAGTAATTATAATAGATCAAAATATAGCATAGTTAATTAAAATAAAGCATGAGTAATTAAAATGAATTAAAATAAAACACAATTAATTAAACTAAATCAAAATGAAGCACAATTAATCAAAATAAATCAAAATAAAACACAAGTACCTAATTATAATACATTAAAATAAAACACAAGTACCTAATTAAAATAAATTAAAATAAAACTCAATTAATTCGAATAAATCAGAATAAAACACATATAATTAAAATAAATCAAAATAAAACACAAGTACCTAATTATAATAAATTAAAATAAAACACAAGTACCTAATTAAAATAAATCAAAATAAAACACAAGTACCTGATTATAATAAATTAAAATAAAACACAAGTACCTAATTAAAATAAATTAAAATATAACCCAATTAAAAAAATAAATCACAATAAAAAAAAAAATAAAAAAAAAACGAACCCCTGAGTCGAGTTCGGATAGTAGAGAGGACCCCTTGAACCCCCCTTGACCAGTGTCCACCAGTGGTCAGCAATCGTGGGAAGACCTCGTCGAGTTCGGATAATAGAGAGGACCCCTTGAACCCTCCTTGATCAGCGTCCACCAGTGGTCAGCAATCGAAAGACCTCGACGAGGTCCGCGGACGCGAGTGAACTAAGGATTTTTCATTGCGCGCTCGTAATTATGGGCTCGCGGCGACCGTGAACTTGCGCGCACTGGTGCGCGGTCAGGTGCGCGAACATTGAGTGCACTGGAAACTCGAGCGCGCCAAAAATTATTTCTCGATTAATTTATTATTTCTAATAAGGTAATTGTTATAACAATTACCTCTCTGAGGAATATTGTTAAACATTCTGTCAGCTGTCTTATAATGCAAATTGTTATTATTTATAACAAATATAAATTGAAATATGCAGAATCTTTCAAGATATGAACCGTGTAATGAACTTTTGCATGTAATAAATTTTACTTTATTGCAAACTATTAAACAATGACTATGTCTTAATGTCTATGACGATTGTTAACTAAATATTATTTAATAAAAATGTGCCTTGATAGCGTTTTAAACAAAGAATTCATAAAAATTTGTAGAACAGTAGGAATTCTTTGATCGACGTTCGATTGATATTGTCCTTGACAATAACTGTTATAATTTTGAGCATAGAATATTTGGCTTACTCGAAATTATTTCACAATAAATTAAATATTTCCGACAATGTAATATTTGTACCAATCACATTGTCGGTGAGGGTTGTTAAACATTCTATCACTTGTTTTGTAATGCAAACTGTAATTGGTTATAACGAATATATAAAAATCGAGGTATTCAGAAATTTGTAAGAAATGACTAAGAAATAATTATTTGCATTACAAAATAACTGATAGAATGTTTAACAAGTCCCACCGAAAATGTGATTGCTATCAATATTCTATTGTTGAAAATATTTAATGTATTGTTATTTAATTTCATACAAATTGAGGTAAGAGAAAAATTCTATTCTATAAACTGGGCCAAATTTCCGGAAACTGATCAATTAACATGCGCCAATTACCCGCTGTCTCATGGTTGTATCAGGTATATAGATTCTTCAAGGAGTTTGTTAAGTGGTACATTCATCTTTTAAACTGGATTACTGGACATGTATATTCCCGCCAAGTCGTATTAGTCGAGGATCTACTGCTCTGACCAATCAACTACTCGTGATTCCCCGAAGATAGCCGAATGAATCTCTCGGGACTGGCCGAATGTAACCGAAGTGTCATTCGTTTCGAAGAAGTGACGCAATAAGATGTAGAAGCCGTTTGCTCGTGCTAAAGTGAGTGTTTGACATTTACTTTTCATCTTTATTCATATATATTAAGTACTAGTACCTTCATTAGCTCTCTATCGTTACTGTCCTTTATTATTTATTCAATATAAACTCAATAATCCCAAATTAATTTGATATCGTAGGTATCGCTTTACTTTTCGGTTTCACTGTGTACCAATTAATACAATGTTTACGTATTTCTGACTCAATTTGAAATCTTTGCGACACACCACGAGTTCAATAATTGTTCATTTGTAACGTAACTATTCTTAACGTTGTGTAATTACTTAAACTGCATGTTTATTTTCTGTGTCAGAGTTTCGGCTTGGACGTACGCACTACCGTCCTGAGTATCGTTGAGTCCCTTCAAACGGAATTCGGCGGGAAATTGGTGAATTCTGGTAAGTTATTGTAACATTTATTATAAGTGAAAAAGTATATACTCCTCCGTTTCATGTTTCATGTTTCATAACTGTTATATTTATTCCTTAACCTTAAACTGAAGCATCGGTTATTTTTATTCCCGGGAAATCATATAGATACACGCAATATGAATGGAATGTATAACACTTCATTTGTGCTAATAATACTCAGAATCCATGCTTTATGGGTAACGTCGGGTATTGACATTAAAATAGTAAGGGGGCTTCTGACGCCCTCGAAGCAGGGGACAGAAAATTACATTGCATGTTAGGTCAAGGTATTCTTATATCTCGTCTGCGATAGAACGAATTCATAGTTGACAGATCGCCGATAACGTAGGGCACTTAAT